CATTAAGGCTGAAAGTGCTAAAGCCAACACTCACATGGTTACACGGTTTGACCGCCATAGCCACAACTTCATTGTGAAAGAGACAATCGACCACAATGAAGGCCTGGCAAGACAAGAATACAGGGTCATTTTACCTTCTCAGTGGTGCGATTGTGGCAGGTTTCAAGCTTTTCGTATGCCTTGCTCTCATGTCATTTCCGCTTGTGCTCATACCCATCAAGACGCGCTTCAACTGCTCTCAAACGTATATAAATCTGAAACGTTGCTCACTGTTTACAACAACAACTTTCCTTTGGTGGCAAAACCGGACTATTGGCCTGAATACAACGGTGATATAGTTTGGCACAATGACCAAATGCGAAGGAACAAGAAGGGTCGTCCCAAAAGCAGGCGCATCACAACAGAAATGGACGATCTTGACAGGTTGGAAAGAAAGTGTGGTTTATGCCGTCAGGTCGGACACAATCGCAAAAACTATCCGAATCGGGCGTTTGGCTCGACCACATAAATTTTGTAATACAATAAATCTTTTCAACAGTTATGTTGTAAACATTATGGGCTTTCCGTTAATAAAACTGTTAACACAATTTAAGAAATTCAATATAGGAAATTACATTAGGGTTTTCGCGTTCAACAATGATTAACGATATTCAATCTAGGAAATTACAACTGTTAACACAATTTCATCTGACCCATGCATCATCAGCATTACATCACTGTCTATTTTGACTTCCTCCAACCACACATTAGGTCTTCCTGTCGCATGCGAGGTTGTTGTTCGTTTTTGCTGGATCCTTCGAATTTTTTCCCCCTCGGCGATGTCTCCATCTAGCCACCGCATCAACTCCCGCTTCAGACGCTCCATGGAGTGAATGTGCCAGAATTTCATTTTCATCGCAAGTTTCGTGGCGGAGAATATAACGTAACCATCTCTGTTAAAAATCATAGGCGACGCCATTACGTAAATAAGGGAGTACAAAATAAAAATACAGTGCAAGAAAGTGTGAGAAATTTCAAAGAAACGGACGAATTATTTATAAAACAGCAAAAAACCCTAGTTTTGCCCTAGGCGCCAAGTGAGATGGCGCCTCCTCTCATTTTTAAGGAGCATGCACCATCTCACTTGGCTAAAAGCCAAGGGAGGCGCCAAGTGAGATGGCGCCTAGGGCAAAACCCTAGGTGCATGCGCCAATTGAGATGGCTCCTCCTTTGTGGAGCCATCTGAAACATGGTTATTTGCGTAATTTTTTCCGAAACCCGGTTATTTGCGAAATATTTTTTTAATACATGGTTATTAATAAAAAAAATTTGTCTTTCGCCACAATACAGAATCAGTCAACTTTCAAAACCTTATTTGTTGGATGCTTCGACTTGGTACCTACAAAACACAATTTTGCAAAGACAAGGAGAGATATTTTTTTTGTATTTTGGTTAGAGGTTAATTAACAACACATATACAAAATACAAAACCAAGGTGCTTAGAAATTCCTCAAGAGCAAACTTAAAGATAGGAGATAGAAAAAAGAGGAATAACCAACCCTAATGTGATTTTGTTATGATCAAGTTGACATGATATGATAGGGAAATCTTATGGGCAAAAATTAGGGTGCAACACCTCTAAAGAGAAACTTTGTTTTGGAAGACAAAATGGCTTCACCAAACACATTTAAATCTTTCACACGTAACACTCGAGAGTTTAGGTTCCTGGGAACCGACATGGGTATATATATATATATATATATATATATATATATATATATATATATATATATATATATATATATATATATATATATATATATATATATATAACGACAATCAAATATGGTAAAGTACAGTGCATTTAATGCATGCTTCCTTAAGAAAATAAAACAATCCTCATTCATCCATCTCAAAAATAATCGAGAGGTGGCCAACTTCTGAGGTTGTAATCTCAAGCCCCCGCCTACCTACGCCTCAACGAAGGCTTAAGGGACAATTGTTCTGAATGACCAAAAAGACCCTATATGACCTTAACCGACTTGACCTGCACTCTAACAAATATTATCCTCGTGCAAGAAACTTCATATTTCATGAAGGTAATTACTTTCGCGATTCCAAGAGATCTCGACCGTGAAGCGCATCCAACAACCATCCGCAAAGGACGACAAACAAATAAGTATTTCGTTTTCTCTCTCTCTCTCTCTCTCTATATATATATATATATATATATATATATATATATATATATATATATATATATATATATATATATATATATATATATATATATATATATATATATATATATATATATATATATATATATATATATATATATATATATATATATATATATATATATATATATATATATATATATATATATATATATATATATATATATATATATATATATATATATATAAAATTGAAGTAACAAGTTTCAAATACAATCTCATTTTCACTATTCTCTGTCGTATATTGACTTGAATGTTGTAGTGCTAATATTGTAGATACCCCATTCCACCACATCAAATGTTATATTTTTTCTCTTTTTTCATTATATACTTAATAACTCCTTCTTTTAAGAATGAATAGTCTTATTTTAACTTTTTAAAGGCAAAATGCCTTTTTTGGTCTCTTAAGTTTACCTCAGAGTCTATTTTTCTCCCTTATCTTTAAAAAGTTTCAAATTAGTCCTTTAATTGTTCAAAAAGGTCCACATTAATCCTTTCTGTCCAATATTTTAAAACACCGTCAACTTTTGCTTGGGTGACATCTGACGTGACACTTAGTCATATGCGCGAGATGCGAGGTCATTAAATACCCATAAAATTTAAAAAAAAAATTGTTTTACCCAGGATTTTAACACAGGTTCACTTGGTTGCTAGACAACATATCAAACCACTACACCACTTCACACTTGTTTGTATGTCATACACAATGAGTGGAATAAAACTGTGTCTTTCTCCACTCAAACCAAACAGAATCGTCATCAACATACATTTGCCCAGAATTTTCATAACCCTTTCTTCCCAAATCCAACAAAACCATTCATCAAACCTTATCAGAAGATACCTTGACCCTTCTTCCCAAATTGCACAATTCCAACTACATTGCTGAATTAGAGCTTGTGTCATTTAAGTAGGACATGAAATCTGAAACGATGCTTAATGTTACTTTCGCCGCTGCTAATGCTTACTTTGAATCGGGTGTTGTTAAGGATCTTAACGGTGATAGGACGAGAGGATCAATTCTGTTTGATGTGCAAATTTTGGCTTATACTTCGTTTTGGTCTGGTCCGTGGAGGTTTAGGACGAGAATTCTTAAGATTGTGTGTCGAAGAATTGTGGTTGGGATTTCGTCGAATTTGATTTCCTGATTTGTTTATGGGTTCTTCTTTTTTTGAAACCTTAAGTTTTGTTATCATTGTTGGTGTTCTGCTATTTCAATGCATAAATTTTGGACACTTTTCACAACAAGCTTTACATTTTTATTAATTTCTCGTTCTCTGATATTGTGTTGAATTGAAAACATGAATGTCATCTAGCAAATATGATGCAAGGGATAGTAATTTACAACAAGTTATCTTGGAGAAATTTCAATTGGCAACAAGTTAGATTCTTCAATTTCTATTAATGTTTTTTTTTCTATCATGGATTTTAATTGACAAGTTAGAGTTTGGAGTTTATGGTGCATTTGGTTTAGTGATTTTCTTATGTTAATGCGTATAATGACTAGAGGAAGAACCATGTGGTACATCAATCAAAATTCATTTGCAGCAATCTTACAAGATCAGTTTTGGAGCTGGTAATCCTCTCTAACAAGTTCACTGAGCAAAACCCTTCTACATTGGTATTTGTACAAACAAGTGTGATGTTGTGTAGGGGTTTGATATATTGTCTAGCAACCAAGTGAACCTGTGTTCGAATCCTGACTACAATATTTTTTTATAGAAATTTTCTGAATATTTAATGATCTCGCATGCCACACATATGATTAAGTGCCACGTCAGATGCCACCTAAGCAAAAGTTGACGATGTTTCAAAATATTAGACGGAAATGACTAATGTGGACCTTTTTGAACAATTAAAGGAAATAGACCCCAAGGTAAATTTAAAGGACCAAAAATAATATTTTGCCTTTTTTAAAAAAACACATATAATATACTTTATTGATATTATTTATTTAATTTTTTAATAATTTTTTATTCATTTTATTGGTTTTATTATTGTAAAATTTTTGGATCTATCAAACTTTTTTCAGCACCAAAATTAATTTTAATGAATATATTATTAATATTAAGAAAAATATTTGAATGAAATCCAACATAATAAATGATTTTACAAAAATCAATTATATTGTTTTATTTTTTAAAAAATAAAAAAATAATTTTTTTCTATCTTCTACTTTATCACAATCACTATGAATCTAATTAAAAAATAAATTAAATTTTAAATAAATTTAAATTTTTTTATTTTCTTTTTAGTTTTCGCACTTTAATTTTTAGAAAAATGAACTCTATTAATTTATAATTCCTGCCGAATTACATCTTTAACAAGAACACATTTATCACTGGAGTTTAAGAATTTGGTTAAATTTTTCTTTATTCTTATCATATGTTTTAAAAAATATGAATTTAAGTTTGTTTTCAGTGTAAGTATTTCTCTTCATCTTAATTATTAACTTTAAAGAAATAATAAATGGAGGTTTCAAAGTTTGAGTTACTCTTTTTCATTCAACCTAGCAGCCACCATTGTAATTGAAGCTTCCCGCTGGTTGGTATTATCATTTTTCATTTCTCTTTCCATATTTTTGTTACATTTTCATCGGAGCGGGCGCGAAACTCCGCGACGGCAGCTTAATGCACCGTCGCGAAATGCATCGGAGGCAGCACCCCCTCCGCACCACCGCGAACACGCCGATTACGGCCGCGATTAACTAATTAGGTTTATATAATGTTGATGTGAAATTTGTTGACATTGTCGATTCCAGGAAAAACAAACGAGATTTGGAAAATGGCTGCTATAAAATCTGCTTCCGCTGGGTTGGTATTGCCACGTCCGGTTACTTTCGTTACTGGAAATGCGAAAAAGCTTGAAGAAGTTCGCGCTATTTTGGGACAGTCCATTCCTTTTCAATCCCTCAAACTTGACTGTAATAACACTCTCTCTTCAAGCTTAGAGAAGTTTGCCTCTTTATTTTTTTTTACAGTTTTTTGTTTGTTATTTTCTAGTGCCTGAGTTGCAAGGAGAGCCTGAAGATATCTCCAAAGAAAAAGCCCGTTTGGCTGCTATTCAGGTACTCTAATTAATTGCAAGTGTCAGTAAATTAGTGGTTATTATCTATGAAGACGAATTCTGACACAGACACTGAGACACGACCTTGACACTCTGACACTCATAATGTCAAAAACATATGACACCAGGATTGTATTTGAGTTTAATTTATCCGTATATTGTTAAAAGACTTGAAAATATTCTAATCAAAATTAACAGTTATAAAACTGAAGAGTCTAACAATACTCCCTCCTTAAAGGTTCACCTTGTCCTCAAGGTGAAAGAAATACACAATAGAAAAAATGCATCCTCCAGGATCCCATAACTTGAAACATAAAGGTTGAGTTATACATGAAGTAGGAAATTTTCCCCCGGGATTAAGTTTGCTTGCTAATGGCAGTCCTCTCTCATGACCACTTGTTGTGGCCACAGTGGTACCGGTAGTGGAAATTTCTTGTTCCTAGACTTTATCTTAGATCATGTGCAATGGGTATGTTGAGTTTGAACTCAACATGCAAAATCTCCTCCAATGGGTGTTGAGAGAGGTGTTGAGTGTGTGTTGGAAGAGAGAGGTGTTGAGAAAACTCAACACAATTGAAGCTGCCACATGGCTGTGCTTGATTAGCTGACCAGATTTTTATCCATTTAATACTTTGAACTCAATTATTTCGTTGCAAATTAATTTTATTTTTTTATTTTTTTTACCAAAATTCATGATTTTTTTTTCTTTATAAATAGAGACTTGGTTCATTTGATTTGGACACAGAAAAAAAAACTAAGTTTTTCACTATCTTAATTTTATTATTAGTGTTTATTTTGAAGTTAAGTGTCTTTTTTTTAGTGAAATGGATCCCAATAATCATTTTAACACTCAAAATTCTGCTAATTTTCCATTTAACCAAAATCCCAACATGAAAATAATAAAATTAAATAAGAATATGAAAATAAAAAGTAAATTTTAAATCCCAACATTTAACCAAATTCTGCTAATCATAAAAATAAAAATAAAATTTAAATAAGAATATGAAAATAAAAAGTGGTGGGGTAGGGTGTTGAGTGAAAAACCATTGGAGAGAGTAAAAGTTGAATGAGTGTTGAGTTATTAGGTGGAAGAAAGAGAAAATGATGTGGAGTGTTGGGAGTTGAAAAAGTGGGTGTTGAGTTTTTCAACCATTGTAAATGGTCTTATGAATAGTAGCGAACACTGACAATAGCGAGTCTTTTGTCTGTGATGAAATAGCTGACTTTCCGTCACTTTTCTGGACTTTTGCTTCACCGGTAGCCATCAACGAATCTGTATTTTTCACTTTGTCGACCTTGCAATCAGATTTGATATCTACTTTACAAACTTCTTTTTCACTGAATTGTTGGATTTGTGAGTCTTCAACTTTACCACCAATCTTTTCTTCAGATGGTAATGCTATTGGTTCTTGAATTTCACTGCTGCCTTGGATTTCCTGTGTTTCGTTTTCAGACTCCAATAGACAATCCCAAACTTCTGGTTGGAATTTCTTGAGAATGGCCTTTACAAAATTCCACCAACAAGTATTTGGATGACTCTCCTTCCAAGAAATCCACCAATCAAGAGCATCTCCTCTCAATGCAAATGCAACAACCCTATTAAGCTTCATCTCTTCACTCATTCTTCTTGACCCAAAATATTGCTCAGCCTGAATCAGCCACCTTCCATCAAATCTTGGAATCAAATCTGCAGCCATATTCATACCGAAATTTCCAGCACACCAGCAAAATCTTTTTGGATCAGAACTGCTTTGATACTAGTTGATAGAAACCAACTGATATATAAAAGAAAATAGGGAAAATCCCTTTGAATTACAAAACAATACCGCAGAACTTCGAGGGTCTGCACCTCTCAATGCCAAAATGGCCCCTTTTCCTATCCAATTCCAAGATGATCAACTCCCTAATGTCTTACCCTATTTATTCTATACCTAAACACACTTAATTAATAAATAGTATAATAATAATTATAATAGTTACCCACTAACTCTCCAAATAATTTAATAACAGTTACAAAACTGAATAGTCTAACAGTTTCCTCTTATATTCTCTAAATTAGCTTTCTCATTATTTTTGTTTGTGGAAAGGTTAAAGGACCTGTTTTGGTTGAAGACACTTGTCTCTGTTTCAACGCCTTGAAGGGTCTTCCAGGTAGATATGATTTTCTTATTTTTCATGCTATGAAAGCATACATTGTACTGCTTGGCACTGGTTTTAATTGAATATTTCAAACTTTTTCAGGGCCTTATATGTAAGCTCTCGATATCCTTGAATCATTGTACTCAAGGTGCTCGTTGTCCTTCTTGTTTTCATGTCTGTTTAGGCCCTCATAACAGTGTTTATTTTACATTGTAGTTTATAAGAGCACATTGCTATGACACATGAAAGTGTGCTGTGATATATCCATTTTCTTCATATCAATTTGCGGTTCCTAACTAATTTGTGTCCTTAAGATGGGTATTAATCCTTTTAATTCTGTTGCCCCTCCCAGTTCTGTTGTCTTTCAACTTTCTTCATCCTTCAAAATCTATATAATCTTTTTCATATGTTGGATACTGTTGGATCTGTGGTGCTTCACTTGTCTGTTATTTGTGTTGTAGGAAGTTGTGAAGACAAGCATATACACTAGAACATAAATGCGGAAATAAATCCTTTATCCTACTAAATGGGATTGGCACATGGACTCTAGTTTGCTAGTGTGCCTGATCCTCGAAGTCTATCTTAATAGTCTCCATCCTTTTTTCTTTTGGGTTTACCTCTACCAATTTTGAGGCCACGTTGACCATTTTCTCCAATTTCTCCAAGGGACTATAAGCCATTATTTTGATACTCAAACTAATTTTGGCTATTTACCATCAAATTTTCCTCTATTGCTGCTATTCATTCACTGAAAGTTGCATGCTTTGTGTTGTGACTGAAACTTCTAATGTATTCTTTTCCAAAATATGATATTACTACTAGTATTATGCTCATTAGTCACTACTACTATAGTAACTTATAATGTACTCCCTCCGTCCCAAATTATAAGAGAAATTCATTTTTTAGACTCATTGAATAATTAATGTATCTGGTCTAGACTAGATACATTAATTATTCAATGAATCTAAAAAGTGAATTTCTCTTACAATTTGGGACGGAGGGAGTATTCTCTTCCAAAATAAACTTACAATGTCTTGTTTATAAAAATTTAGTTGAGAAGTACTCTACTCATTGACATATGATGTACCCTAGCATTCTCTTAAAATGACGACGGCACATCAGGAATAGTTGAGGTAGCTCAAATGGTCGAGCAGAGAACAGAAAATTCTAATGTCACCAGTTCAAAGCTTGTTCTTGGCATAATTAGTAACTATCCATTTTCATTATAATAACAACCCTACAAATAGTCTTGTAGCATGATTTTGAATTGTCCGCTTCTAATTAAGTGCGTTATAACTCATAGCTCCATAGCTGAGAAGAGCGGTCACTGGTCGCTACAAGAAGTGCAATAGCAGAGAGTTTCCGTGTAGCGCAAGCTTATCCATAATCTGAATTTTCTAAAATTATTGCAAATTAAACTTTTATGAATATTTTCCTTTACATGAAATTGAAGTTCAATTCTTAAAGTGTTATATTCGGATAGAGCACTGTATGGGCCTAGTCCAGTAGGAGGGAATGTTCTTGTTAGCTTAAGGCAGGAAGAGCCTAAGATATGGAGAGTCTGTGAGGGGAAAAAGAAGAATGTGAAAGAGGGAGGGAAGTAAGGGGTACCAACTGGCCAGGTAGTTAGGATATTCCAATAAGGGTAGTGTAGGCTAAGGATTGACACTTATGTCATCATTATTCTGTTAAAACCCGTAGTCATAGGCAGAGAGAATGTTTTCTCTCTTTTGAGGAGCCTTGACTCTGGATATTTTGTTTATGGAGTTCCTCTCCTTTTCTTGCATCTGACTATACCTCACACTCTTCTTTCTACCATTCTTAATTCTGCTCCTTCATATTCTGTCTCTTTTCTTGTGTTGGTTATCATTGTATTTTTCATTCCTCTCTCTTATCACCAAAGTATTTGATGTTGAGAAAAATAATTATGTCATTTTTAGTCAAGTGAAGGATGTTTGTAATTCTGCATTTGCTTAAGTTATATTTCTCTTACTGGTTATGATATGTGATTTCATAGGGTGGGTGGGTGGTCATTTGGTGACACACCTATTTGTCCATTTCCTATATTGTAAACATAAATATACTGAATATAAAAGCGGCTTTGTGTAATGTGCACAAGTAAAACAGTCTTGCACCATGCACAAGTGTGTTGTTTTTACCATTGCATAAAAGAGTCATCATATCTCATTTGATCCAATGGCGGGTGTCAAAACGTATACTTGTTTCTAAAGCATCGGCAAGTAACATTTTAATTCATTATCAGTATTAGGCTACATGGTTTTTAAATTCTTCAGATGATCATTGTCTAATTGCTTTGTTAAATCTTGCAGCAAATGGTTTCTCCAGAAGATTGGTCATGAAGGTTGTGCCATAATTCTGTAATTATGGAGTAGTCCTCTAACATAACTTTTGCTTCGGTTTCAGGATATCTCAAATTAATTTATTCTTTGTTCTGATCATTTTGCAGGTCTCAACAATCTGTTGATGGCATATGATGATAAATCAGCTTATGCATTATGTGTATTTTCCTTTGCAGTCGGTCCAAACAGCGAACCTATCACATTTTCAGGAAAAACACTGGTATCGTTTCAAATCCTTTGTGCTGTTTACCAAAAACACAATTATGTATCTATATATTTCCTAGGACTGCACACAAAATTTAAATTTTACCGAGTCTATGAAAAAAATAGTGGTTTCCCTTGTAAAAGCGTGCTATTCTTCAACCCGACCAAACTTGTGTTACAGATGAATAGCCTGAATTTGATGAATGCTGATCAATTCACACCTTATAGTTAACTCGACTAATAGAAATAAGTTGATGTGTTATGATGACGAACTCAATTTGTGCTGGAATTTTAGGGGAAGATTGTTCCTGCAAGAGGACCCAATGATTTTGGATGGGATCCCATTTTTCAACCTGATGGCTATGATGAAACGTAATTCTATCCTTTACTTATCATTTTCTGTATAAATGGTCTATTTTGTAATTATTTGCATGAACTAATTTATTTCATTTAAAACCATTGTAGTTATGCAGAGATGTCCAAAGAAGAAAAGAACAAAATTTCTCATCGCTCCAAATCTCTTACACTGGTGAAATCACATTTTGCTGAAGCTGGATACACCTTTCAGATCTAAAATGGTAGAGATTATAAGTCAGAAGTTATATACTAGATAACAAATTTAAACTTGGTTGAAAATGAATTTGCTCCAACACATTTGAATGCATGGTTGATAAATATAATTTGGTTGAATAATATTATTGAAAGTACTTTTTGAAAATATATGAAGATAAATCATCTGCCATTGGAGATTGTTGTAGTATCCAACACAATTTTTCCTTTGCCAAACTGAACATACAAGCTCAAGTCTTTGAACTCTTCCAGAAGTTCTTCCTCCCTTGCCGACACCGTTGTCACATGTAGTGTTTTCCTACTTAAAATCATAATCTTTTAAGAAGTCCATCTATCACCCTACCTCATGTTTAATTTCTTATGAACGATGAAATATTTTAAGTTCTTGTGATCATTGTAGAACCAAATAAATTATGCATGTATATGTAATGCCTCTAAATCTTCTGGGTAAACATCTTGACATTAAGACACTGTGTAGGGTAATTCCTCTTGAATTTGTAGGTATCTCAATTGCTTTAACAAAGAGTCTAGTGTGTAAGATGCATGGTAGTACACATCAAATTGCCCAAAAGGATCTAAAGAGATTAAGAGCATCTCCAATGAAAGAATTATTTTTGATTGTTTGTCCTATTTTGTAAGTTTAAATTGTCATTATATTTAGGAAATTCATAAACAATTTTAACTAATCTTAGGTGATTATAAATAAACAATAGTTGATATTACTTTATTTATACTAAATTTTGATTAAATTTTAAATACTAGTTGTGTCAAAAAGAGTTCCCTCTTTTATAAAAAATAAAATTTTAATGATAAGTAATATGTTGTGATTGTTTATTTGCATAACATTCTTTAATTTCAACCGACATAGAGTGTCAAGTAAATAAACCTCAATGATAAATTAAGAAAAATAAACCTCAATGAAAAATTAAGAAAAGCAACTTACTGTTGGGAAATGTCCACTCTTATGGGTGGGCCCACACCTTGAAAATCTAAAATACTCTTCGGGTGTCTAGAGATGTATTTCGATATGCACCTGAAATCATACAAATCTTTGTTTTTCTAGTATCTATCCCATTTTAAATAAAATATAGTGCAGAGATGCATCTCTATATATTATTTAGATGTATTCGGAGATGCATCTTTGAAATATTCGTTGAAGTCATTTAAAGACATATGATAAGAGATATTTCGGAGATGCATCTCCAGAAATCTTCCTAGATGATTTCAAGGCAACTACATTGTCTTAAGATTAAAATTTTTTTTAGACCAACTCATATTTTAGACGATTTTAGACCATAAATTTAAAAACAGATATACAAATTGATTCAAAGATACATTAAAAGAGTCACACATTAGTTAAAGTAAAATTAAAATGTGATGCATTAAAAGAGTCACACATTAGTTAAAGTTGTGAGGGCAAAGTTCCTTTATAAGTATTTTAATGATGTCAAAACGACTATTAATCTCTCTCTCTATTTGGATCTCCAGAAACAAGTATTTTTGATAAAATCTAATCTGTGCGTCGACTCAAAGATATGCGCGGTCGACTCATCATCTTCAATCAAGTCCTGGATGTATCAGGTCGACCCTTCCGGTCGACTCAAACTGGAAATCAAAACATTCAAAGTTTACATCGACGCAATCCCTAAAGCGGTCGACGCACTTCACTTCAAAATGGAATTCTCTCTGACTGCTGGATGTATCGCGTCGGCCCTTCCGGTCGACTCAACCTGGGAATCAGAATATTCAATGTTTGCATCGACGCAAGCCCTGAAGCGGTCGACGCCTTCAAAACAGTTTTCTCTCTTGGTGCGGGTTATGTCGCGCCGACCCCTGCTTCTGGTTGAGTCGACCGCTCGCTAGCCTCATCTGATTTTCTGCTATGTTTGTGGGTCTTGGCTATTAGGTAATATATATATATATATATATATATATATATATATATATATATATATATATATATATATATATATATATATATATATATATATATATATATATATATATATATATATATATATATATATATATATATATATATATATATATATATATATATATATATATATATATATATATATATATATATATATATATATATATATATATATATATATATATATATATATATATATACACGCATCATTATGGAAATTCAACAAGAACTAGTGAAAGATACACATAGTGCTCATCATCTTCATCCTCTCTTCTCAAAAATCAACATCTACACATAATCATGGTTGTTGATTCAAGAAAATTGCTGTGGTGATAACGTTCAAATCAAGAATTTAATTCAGATTTGGGTTGAGCAATTGTGGGCTGCTCTTGAATAAAATCATTGGGATTTTCTCCTCCAAGATTCCTATTGGTGCGGGGGTTTTTGCACAAGTCTTTATTTCATTGAATTCAGCCGAGTGAAAGGATTAAGAAACGTGTATTTGCTTAATCAAGTAGCGGTAACCAGAGGATTGTGAAGATTGATTTAGGGTCAAATTGCTTGCGATCGAAACCAGCCGAGTGAAAGGATTAAGAAACAGTGGGCTTGCTTAATCATGAAGCGGTAACCAGAGATTTGTTCGAAGAATTTGGCACTTGGTTTTGCTCAAACCAAGGAAAGGGAAGAAGATTGTTACTTCAGCAACCTTGGTTTGTTTGTATTGTGAACTATCTCTTCTCTTGTATCATTTGCAACTTAATATAAAATATCTCAATTCTAGATTCTAGAATTGGGGGCAGACGTACCCTACGCGAGGACGACAAGGGGAACTGCCTTAACAAATCGTGTGTTCTTCTGCTTTTTCTTTATCTCCATACTTGATAACTATACTGTGTGAAAATTAATTTGTCAAATCTGCATTTATTGAAATTGTAGTGTGTTGAGTTCATTTCAAAACATTGGTAACAATCCTTTTGATTGATACCTAAGAAAACTCACCACTACAATTTAGTAAAATCAAACCTAAGGTGCGTTGCTCACAAGGTGTTTGACAAATTGACTAATCCACAAATTATTCATTGTGTTTATCATTATCTCATTCAACTCATTGGTAGTAATTAATAATCATTGAGGGTGTATAAGTGACTGATCAATTGAGTAAAACGCATTGATTCTTATTTTGTCATTACATCCCATACGGTTATGCATATCCGATCTTTTCAATAGAGGATCGTTTAGACGATTGGAGATTCCAGGAAGCTTTCGCATGTTTTTCAGAAAACAATTTTTAAAAAGCGCAAATTATTTTAAACGATATATTTAACCCCCTTCTAGATCGATCACATGGTCTAACAAGTGGTATTAGAGCACCGGTTCATCTGGTGCTTCATATATTACTTTGTAGAAAATGGAGAACGATCCAAAAGGGGCTTATACGAGAGCTCTTGTTTTCACCGGTGAAAACTATAACTATTGGAAAGATTGTATGCGTGTGCATATTAACTCTGTTAATAGAAAGATATGGAAAGTTATCGAGGATGGTCCTATGCAAATAACCATGATCAATGAGGATAACATTACCATACCAAAACCGGAAGCACTATGGGATGAGGAAGATGAGAAAAGTATAACTATGATTGGAAAGATAGAAATATGCTTATTGCTTCTTTAGGTGTTGATGAATATTTTAGAGTATCACATTATGCGACTACTAAAGCAATGTGGGATGCTCTACAAATTGCCCATGAAGGGACAAATGATGTTAAACTTGCTAGAATCAATACATTAACTTAAGAGTTTGATCTCTTTCATATGAAGCATGGTGAAACCATTGCTGATATGCAAAAGAGATTTTCTCATATAATCAACCGCTTACACACTCTTGGTCATGTTACTCCCAATGATGTTGCTACTAACAAAATTTTAAGATGTCTTAATAGGGAATGACAGTCTAAATTTATAGCTATCAAGGAAGCAAACAATCTAGCTATACTCGACATAAAAAAATGTTTGGGAAGCTTCAAGAGCAAGAGCTCATCAATATCAATAAGCATGAGAAAAAGGAAAATAAGGAAAAACCAAAAGACATTGAAAAGAATTCCGTCGCATTAAAGGCTTCAAGCTCAAAGTTCTCCACCAATAACTCTCATGTGACTGATTTTAGCGATGAAGATGAAAGCTCAAGTGAAGAGATGGGGCTGTTTGTGAGAAAATATCACAGATATCTCTGAAAGAATGAAGTCCAACACTCGACAAAAATCTCATCAATTATAGAAACCAATCAAAACCTTCAAGACAAGATGAAGGCAATAAATCTAAATCAAGACGATCATGTTTCAACCGCGGAAAACCTAGTCACTATAAACCGGAATTCTCGTTGCTCAAGAAAGATAAAGGAAAAGACAAATTTTAAAAGAGACCTAACAAAGCTAGAAGAGCATACATTGCTTGGGATAGTGATAGTGTAGCCTCAAGCAAAAGTGACTCTAGTGACGAAGAAGAAACCATCAACCTTTGTCTCATGGCTCATCAAAAGAAGAAAAGCAATGTAAGTCATTCTAAATATAATAACATTGATAAAATGTCTCACATAGAATTGCAAAGAGCTTTTGATTCTCTACAAAATGAGGCTAAGGAAGCTTTTAAACGATTAGCCTCAAATAAGAATTTTTTTTCATACCTTGAGCATAAAGTGTCCAAATCCCAAAAATAATTGGAAGCTCTCAAGGCATCCATGGTAGAGAAAATAAAAACTAATAGCAAAGATAATAAGCTTTCTTCGCATGACTGGGCTGGATGTGAAACTTACTACATTTGGCAAAAAGAAGTAAAAACTCTTAAAGCCAAACTTGACAAGGCTTTACAACCCAAAATTACTTTTAGCATTGATAGATCAAATTTCAGAAGTAGTATGATAAATCCATATCAAAAATACACTTATGAAATAAAAGATCCTCAAAGCAAAAGTAACTTGCCCAAAACTCTAACATGTTTATACTGTTGCAAAAGGGGACACACCATTAGCAAATGCCGATTTAGGAGATTTCTGGTTCCTCAAGGCATTTTCA